TTTTACAGTGATACAATCATGAATGAAAGAACCCGCAACAGACTAACCAGAGATAAAATTATTGAAATCATAGGTAGGAATAATTTTAAGGAAGTAGGAGCAACCATTCAAGAAATGGAAGCAGTATTTAAGCAGTTTAATATTCAAGTTAGAATTTTTAATTTTGTAAATGAACTTATTTACAAATATAACCCAAAAATAAGAAACCGTCATATTAAAACATTTTACGCTATGGTGAAAAATAACCATATTTATACATTAAACCACGATTTAAGCAAAATACAACAAAAACAAGTAATATCAAAACTACTTACTATAAAGGCACACACTGATTATTATATAAATGAAAGAGAGGAACCACCGCAATACAAAATGATTAAATGTATAGATGATATACTTAAAATTAAAACTGATGATAAAACAAGGGAAGTATATTTAGTACCCGAAGATAATGATTTGGCAGAAATATTTTTCCAGTTGATAAATATTGGATATGAACCCAGAATTAAATACACAGGTATTATTGATGAAATTAGAGTCAAATTTAACAAGATAACATATATCATAAAGACTCAAAATTTAATTAAATCATCCAGCGATGGTTGGATCGCAGCAGATAATGAAACTATGTACAACAATATGAATAAAGCAATGTTTAATTTTAATAAATCTTTATTTATTTTATCTCACAAATCTTTTTATAATGACATTGATATAAAAATATTAAACGAAACAAGGACTGTAGCACCTTCGGGATTATTATGGGATAAATTTAATTTAATGTGTAAAACTGAAATCGATGAAAATAAGGCATTTACAAAAGGTTTCATAGATATTACTGAAATACCAGTTTTTAATCAGTTTGACAATTGGAAAGAATACAATGATGCAATTAATATTGATGAACTCCACGATCTAACATTATATTATATTGAAGTTAACTATCCGAATATACCAAATAAATACAGTATGGAACGTATTAAACGTAAGCATCTTTTGGAGGAAAGTTTAAAATTTAAATCAAAAGAAGAAGTTGAATTCATAATGACAAAAACGGTACTGGGGAATAAAGAGGGCTTAATGTTTAATAAAAAATATAATTTAGTTTATGGTAAGTTTTTAAAAAATTTTATTAATCAATATAATATTAAAGTATTATATTATAAACAACCTTCGTTTATTCATAAAACAAACTATAAGGATATGATTAATGAACTTTGGAAAACTACTATAGATGAAGATGATGATGATGATGATATACTAAGTAAAAAATTAATAGCAAATGTCAATTTTGGATTATTAGAGAAGGGAGAGGCTACCGCGCATCAAAGCATTTTGTTTAAGAGTATTGATGAAGCAATCCATTATCAAACAGAATACGGAGGCAAAATTCATAAGTTATCACAGATAGAAGGCAAAATTCATAGGTTATCACGTATAGGTACAGAAGACGAAGAGCGCGAGGATGAGTATGAAGAGTATACACGTGAACTAGATGAAAGAAATATAAAAGCATCATATTATATATTAAAATTAAGGGATAAAGCAGTATTGAGAAACGGCTATAGATATATTAAAGAACTACTCATGCAACATCATAATTTTAAAATGAACCAAGACATTTACAAATTAATAGTCAACGATATTAATGTATATAGTGTGAAAACCGATGCTTTTGTAATTGATTCATACAATGTAGAGAAAGCAAAGCAATTATTAGAATTTCATAATGATATAGGAGGTTGGAAAGTTTCTGGGCGAGACAATGAAATTAATATTCCTACTGTAAAATATGAAGTTGTTAAGAATGATCTAATAAACATACCAGTTCATGAAAGTAAAACTATTGATATTAAAGATGAATACGACACTGATAACATTATAGAGATTGTTAAACAGAATAACCCTATTATGATCAGGGGCGAACTACCGGGCACAGGAAAATCATATATATGTCAAAAAATGGTTGATAAAAAATATAAGGTAATATTTATTTGTCCTACTAATAAATTATTACAGGCATTCGAAGGTGAAGCAATGACTATAAATAAGTTTTTTGGAATAAACTACGGCGATGCAAAATTAGAACCATTTGATTTTACAGAATTTGATGTAATCGTATTTGATGAAATTTATTTCAGTAATTTAAATATATATTGGAGAATAAAACAATTTGTAGAGCAGAATAAACACAACAAAATTATAATAGCAACGGGAGACACCAAGCAATTAAAACCAGTTCAAGAGATAACAAATACTCGAGACTATGAATTATATACTGATAATATTATAGATAACATTTTTGAATATAATATTTTGTTAAAAGAATGTAAGAGACTTAACACACAGGAAGATAAGGATAAACTAAGAAATATTAAATTTGATATTTTTGAAAATAAATTACCTATTATGAAAGTTATTGAAAAATATTTTGAATATACAACTGACATAAGCAATTCTAACAACAACATAGCATTTTTAAATACAACTTGTAAAAATGTCTCAAATGAAATTAGAAAATTAGAACATAGAAAAGATGAATACGAAGTAGGCGAATTTTTGACATGTAGGGAATATACTAAAACTAAAACATCAGTGTTTAATGTAAATTTCAAATATAAAATAGTTCATATCGGAAGCGATGGAATATTTACATTAAAGAATGTCAAAACCGAAATTTTACAATCCGTAGAAGTTGCTAAAATAAGAAGCAATTTTATATTTGCATATTGCTCAACTTGTCATTCTGCCCAAGGCAGTAGCATTGATGATACCATAACAATTTTTGATTATAACCATTTTTTGGTAAAGAATTATCCAGAATGGATATGGACTGCAATTACAAGGTGTAGAGATTTAAACAAAGTTAAATTTTATAAATATACAAAATATATTGATGATGTATTTAATCAAAAATGTATTATGAGTTATTTTGAAAGGAAAGTATTAAATTACAAAGAACAGGACAGGAAAGCAAAAAGAACCATATCTAAAGAAGGTTATGTAAATACACAGTGGTTTTTAGACAATATAAATAATCAATGCAATTACTGCGGATGTGGTTTTACTATTGATATGAAAAATGGTAATATCATTACAAATCTGACAGCGCAACGTAAATCAAACGAGTTGTCGCACGAACTGAATAATATTATTCCTTACTGTGTTAGGTGCAATTGTAGTTGTAAATGATAATAATTTAAATAAAAATTTAATATTTCTTGTAAAAAGTATTTAAAGAAATGAACACTATATATATTATAATAGGAATGGTTGAAACCGAAATCAATAATTATATCAATAAGAAATGCTACGACTGTTGCCACTTCAAAAAGGAAAATATGGAATTATACAAATTGAATTTACCTAATGGAATAGTTAATAATATTATTGATTATTCTTTGGGTAAAGAAAATTTATGTAAAATTTGTAGAAATTGGAGATATTATCAAGAATTAATCAAATGTAATTTTGATATTAAAAGGTTTAATGAAAGAAATGTTGAAGATGCCATTTTGATATTTTTAACTGTGTATAAAATACCACCTTATAGTTATGTTAGAATATTTCTGAAAATCAGTAAGAAAAAATATGAAATGATTAAAGGTATATTGTGGATGTTGACTTGTCATTTTAGGGAAGGGTTTGATGTAAAAGAAGACATTAAAACATATATCGAAGGAAAAAAATTAATGTGAAAAATACCGTGAGAGATATTAATATTATTTTTAAAATGATGCATGAAAGAGATACGATATATACACAATTTAATGGTCATCAATTGAATTATTATCCTGAACTTAAGTTATAAAATTCTATCTACCTAACCTTGCCCATAATATTTCTACAAAAAATTATGATAAAAATATTGTAAGATAATTTATCATAAATTTTGGAATAATATTTTTGAAAATTTATTTTTTGAAAAATTATTTTTTATTGAAAATATTATTTTTGAAAATATATTTTTTGAAAATATTAATTTTTTTTGAGAATATTATTTTTTTTGAAAATATTATTTTTGATTTTTTTTTTTTTTTTATGAATGAGCTTAACCTTGCCCATGCATCCTACCATCAATAACCATATCATATGAACCACCCTATACTCCTATTTCCACTCAAGCATCCTAACAATGACAAGAATGATGGAATAGAAAATGAGAAAAATGTAACTTTTTGGATGGATTTTGAGGTTGAGACTGTTATGAAATGGTTTGAGTGGAAATATGCATAATGAATAAGGATGACGATTTGAATAGTGAAAAAATGGTTGAAAAATGCTGTTCTTGCGTAGGGTGGGGGTCACGCTCGGGTACCACAAAAAGATGGGCAAGGGCTACTCTAACTGTAGCTTGGCTTGGGGTGGGTTTAGGGTTGGACAAGAGATGTTTCTTTTTTGCTTAGGGCTTGTTTAGCGTGATTTAGTGTAGGGTGGGTTTGGGGTGGGTTTGGGCGTGTGTGGCTGGTTTGAGATTGATTTAGAGTTTGGCTGGTTTGAGGGTTGGCAAGGTTTGGCTTAGGGCGGGCCTAGGGTTGGTTTGGGTTGGGTTGGGTGTGGGGCGGGCCTAGGTTGTTTTAGGTTTAGGGTGATAAGAACAAGGTTGCGGGGTGAAACAAGCAAGCTCGCAGGTGAAAAAAACAAGGCGGAGGGTGAAACAAACAAGGCAGAGGGTGAAAAAAACAAGGTGAGGGGTTGAAAAGAAAGGATTTCTCAGGGTTGGAGAAGCAAGGTTCCCGCAGACGGTTCCCAAGCAGGGTTTGAGGGTTGAAAAAAAAGGAAGGGTTAAACAAACAACTTCGGAGGGTGAAAAAAAAAGGAGCCCGTGCCATGTGGCTGTGGGTCAAAAGCCTGTACCCTGGTGAACATCAAAATAGGTGGCAAATGGATATTCATCCACCCAAAAAATGGCTTGCAATAGGTGCCCCATGGCCATATGGTTGCCGGACCCTGTGATCAACATGCACACTGCCTGGATCTGGAGACGACCCACCCGATGCCTTGGAGAGAAGGATCTCCCGCTGCTCGGGAATGCTCATGGAGCCCTGCTGCACCTCCTGACCTTCGCGCGTGCGAACCCAAAACGAGGTACTTGCCCACTTGGTCATTGTCGTTGTTAGGGGACCCCCCCAAGAAAATAATAGGTTTCCGTTTAAAACAAGCCAAACAAAAAGGGCCAGCTAAAAAAGCAGGCTACCACCAAAAAGACAGACCCACTTGCTACACAGACCGTTTCAACTTGGCCCCTCAAGCGGATGGTGGCTTGCAGTCTGTCTTCACAAAGCTTGGGAAGCCAAGAACATCCGGACACGCTGCCAGAAACACCCGTCTGGTTTTGGATGACACGCCAAGGCACGTGCCACCATGCAAGCTCCGCTTGGATCCTATCGGCCTTTCGATTTGGCGCCCGGCGCAGCGACAGCAGCTGAGTCTCGAGTTCTTTGCGAGCTTGATCTGAGGCAGATGCAATCGGCCAGGGCGCCATTTGGATTAGAACTGTGTAAAACATGTAGAGGTGCGAGCTCGAGATGGCACGTAGATGGAAAAACAAGAGTTTTTTTTTTGGCAAACGTTGAACACCACAAGACAAAGTTCCGCGAGGCAGAAATGGAACTGCCCAGGCAAAAGCACTGTCTCGGGCGGGCGCTCAGTTGTCGGTGCCGCGTGCGCAGAGGGTCGCTTCGCAACCTACAAAGCTCTGCAAATGTCTCACCTATTGCCCATGCTCATCTCGTTCCGGTTGCATGGTGCAAACGCAATTGGTTTAGCAGAAAAATCCAGACTTGATTCGTGCTCTCTGAGGCCGTCGCCGGCTCTCCAAGGCATTGAGCCTGCCGCTGACCTCGGGCGAGATGCGACGCACACGTGCCATGCGCACCGAGAACTGCCTGGTCCAGCTCGTCCCGTGCATCTGCCAGGTCCGTGCCTTCAGGATACGTCAGGCACGAACCCATCGCTTGCCCTCCGAGGAACTTCACTTGCCCTGAACCCTGGGCATCCGGCTTAACCGCTTGCTCTCCTCGCGCAAGTCTTCATACTCGCGACCTCACGGGGCTTGGGACAAATCTTGGGACAAAGCTGGCGGCCTTTCGCGTTTCCTAAGCGCGCTGGTTTCGAAGTGAGTTTACACAAGCGACGGCCATTTGCACATCCAAAACTGGGGACTTTATGAAGGGAAACCCTGGAGACTTTCCTCTGCAAACGGAGCCTTGGCTCGAGCCAAGAGCGGAGCGCGGTCTCTGCATTCATTGTTCAACCGCCTCTTCGGATTTGGGATCTGAAGCTCTGAATTCGTCATATAAAGTGGGGGAAGAAAAAAACCCAATGGGTGAGGAGCCCTGGATTCATCTTGGGGGAGAGACCAACGGAGCTGAGAACCGCGGAAGGCCGGGGCTCCCGCGCTGGTCCGGGTGCAGCTCGTTGAGCCGCTCCTCGGCCGCCCGGGCGATGGCCCCGATCTCCTGCTCCATGCCTCGGCCCGTCGGCGCGTCGCACGCTCCTGTCTCACAGCTTGTGCGTCCCATGGCCAGAGAAAGGGTTGTTCATGACTCAAAGCATCTTAAAAGAAAGCTACTTGCCTCAAGTCTATTCTCGCTCGAGTTTTCAGAGGCCAAGGTCGCAAGTTGAGGCAGATGCGACCAATCTCTTCCTCGTGACTGCGCTTCTCCAGAAAGATCTGATCGACGTCTGCCCGCTGCTGCTCGTTCTGAGACCTGAGCCGGCGAAAACCTGAGTTTCCATAAACACGGGTCAGGGAGTGGTACAGAACCGCTGAGTGCCAAGCTTCATGAGGGTGTACATATGATGCACCTCCTCTGGCCTGGTGTCTGTGCCTGGGCCGCGAGCCGAGCGAGCTGAGAGCTGATGCCCTGGGGGGCGCTGAAGGGCGCTTTGGGCTTCGAGCGCTGCTTGTCAGTGGCCAGGTTGTGGTCAGCCAGGTCACCCTCCAGCGATCGCACGGTTTTCACCAGAGTGTCATAGCCTCGCAGAATCGCAGTGGCTTTTCCAGGGGCTAAAAGCTACGTCTGCACTGCATCTCTCTCTCCCTGCTTTGGGGGACCGGCGCTTCTCCAGCGAGGCATAGACATTGTTGTCCTGCAAGCTGAACCAGGCTGTGCGCTCACCCACGGGTTCTCGGATTCCCGAAACTCGCTGAGTGCTCTGTCATCTGTCCTGCTGAATGTCATTGATCTCCTGGTTTAACCTCTTCACCTCATCTGTTAGCTCCTGGGCACGAGGCTGTTCCCAGATTCTGACAGCTTCGGCGGCCTCTCAGAAATTTGCGTGCGTGTGGTCAACACAAGATCAACCTTGCCATTTATGCCACATGCTTTCCACTCGGAAGTGCCGGCCTTTTCTCCTGGCAATCAGTTCAGTCGGTCTTTTCAACCGGGCTGTGCAGCGCGCTTCACTTCAGGAGGATCGGGTACAGCGGCTCCAACTCGAGGCTGTTAGCACCGGTCCTCAAGTAAAGCTCTCCATGCCTACTGGGCGTGTTGAACAAAAAAGGGAGCCCAGCATATGGTTTCCCTTTGATTTCCTTTTGAAACAGCCACAAAAAGGGCTTCCCTTCTCCAACAAAGATTCCCCCCCCCCCCCCCCGCCCGCCCCCACATGTAGAGTGCCCACAGGGCCTGAGGTCATCCAAGTGTCTCCATCACGTTGGCCAGCAGTCCCACGATGATGGTGGCACCCCCAAATGCTTGACCTATTTGCAAAGGGCGTTCCAAGACACTGCAACGCACAGCCGATCTTTGATAGATTAACAATGGCAGAGGCTTCCAGTCTTGCCTCAGACGGTGAAAGCAATCAGGATTGGGTCGAGCTGACACATACCTTTTGAGATCAAAGTGACATTGGGCTAAACGCAGTGGAAGCAGCATTTTGTCTTTTTCGGCTTGAAGGTCTGTGTGTCAACGGCACGTTTGCTGGCATTGGAATGCCCGACTTTTCTGGAGGCGGGGGAAACCGTGCCTGCAGTGAGGCTCACACCGAAGAGCAGGTAGTTCAGCAGCGAGGTGGCGACGGGCTGCAGTGTGTGGAAAGCTGTCACGAAGGAGGGCCGAGTCACTTTGTTTGCCCAAGCCCCGATGCTGTAGTTGTACGCCGTGCCGAAAACCACCTAGAGCCAGGTCTGCTTCCAAGGTTACCGACTGACAGCCCACGCCACAAGAACACCAGGATGACTTCACCAAAATGCCGGACACCTTGAACACGCCAAGGAAAATAAACCAAAAAAAACAACACCCGGTAAATCACGGCCAGCTTTCTCTTGTCCAGGGACCACATAAGCCAAGGCCAGGAGCGACAGGGGCCGAAAACTGTGGCTCGTGTCGACGTCCGCCAGGGCGGCGGGCAGAAGCGCGCAGCCGGCCAGGAGGAAGGAGACACCCGCCACGAACCTCGAGAAGCGAACGTGGCGCTCGTCTTTCAGTGGCTCATCTTATTCAAGGGCTTCACTTTCTCCAAAAAACAAGGGACGTCTCGCGTAGAAACCATCCAACTGGTGATTTCCTTTGAGGGGACCGCTGAGTTCATTTTTCTCATTCCCTACTGGGCACCAGCGAGACTGTCTCGGGCACGCCTTTTCACCCCTACAAATACCAAGAAACAATGTTTTCAACCAAGGTTTCGAAGAGGTGTGAACGGATTTCGTGGATCCACAGGGCACCAATCAAATCTCCTCCTGTTTGCTTAAATGGGACTTCAGGGCTTTGGGCTCGTGAATTTCTTGCCAGAGTGCATTGGAGAGTACTTTTGCAGCAAACCAGTGTGCTTTTGGAAGACGCTGTAGGCAGCACCAGTTGTGACATTCACAAAGAGGAAGAACCAGCCCAGCATGCTGGAAAGGTGTGATGGCAGATCATGACCTTGAGTCAATGATGCGATTTGCAGTCGCTTGGCTCTATGAGGCTCTCTGTAAGATGGCTTACACTACCTCCAGGGGTATAGTGGGATATACAGCCACTATATCACCACCACACAAAGGGTATATATCCCAACTTACCCATCTTAAAGACTCTGACATGCTGCGAACCGCAAAGCTAAGGCCACTTCAGCTCACTCGACTAACGCACCAGGCGGCCATGTGAGACGACAATCACAGCTCCGGCCGCGCTGACCAGAACACATAGGACTTTCCCAGAAGACCACGGCTCCACGCCGGATGAGCAGGAGATAATCACAGCAATCACCGGCATGGAGGGCTGCATAATGGCACAAACAATCGCAGGCAGTCCTGGGAGAGAGGCCGCTTGCGCTCTTTTTCGGAAGGAGATCACATGCATTCATATGGGTGTGGGTCAAAAATAGGTAAACGGAGCCCAGGTAAAAAGAAACAAGGACTAAAACCTGTGGTTTGCTGGTGGTAGAATTTGGACCCATACCCATATGAGTCACATGTGCCAAGTGCGCCAAGAGTCGGGAGACCGCCAGCAGCCCACCTAGCGTGTTCATGCCGATCAGCACTGCCAGCAGGAAGAACTTGCCGCCGTCCAGCTGCAGGCTCTGGGCAACGGCCCGTACCTGTCACCAATGCCGGGCCCGTTCTACACACGTCACATGGCCATGGGTCGAAATCCAAATCGTACCCGTGAACATCAACCAATCCAACCACTAAAACAGGAAACCTTTTTCTGGGTGGTGAGAATTCACCCAATCCAACCATGGTTGATCAAGCAAAACGGTTTTGACAGCCACACGGCTTTCATCTCAAGCCATATCCGTTGAGCCGCCGGATCGAAGGGGAGATCCGGCGCCGGTCTCAGCGCAGGGATGAAGCACGTCAGAATCATGATCACGGAGCCCAAGAAGCACCGGTAGAAAAGGAACCTCCGCCCGCGTTTCACGACACAAGCAACTCGTGGTCCGCGGCATCGTATTTTCAGACACACACACAAAATTCTTCCCTTATCCGAGTGGCACGTAGGGTGAGGTGCCCTCAGACATGGCCGCCTTTGCCAGAAGTTGCCAAGCGCCATAGATGCCGGCAACCTCGGATCCCAGTCCAGCGCCAAAGCTGTCGGGGTCTGCTCTCTCTCGCGTCTGGGGCCCTGCCGGGTGTATTCAGGGAAACCAACAACGCAGGAACGCCACCAGGCCCCCACAAGAAGACAGATGGGTAGCCCAGCTGGCTTAGAAAGAATTTTCGCCTTGCTCCAGCGGCCGATGGAATTCAGCTTGGCCGAGCAGCAGATGTCAAACTCAGCCCCACCAGCAGGCGGGGCCTAGCATGCCAAGAGCTTCATGTGCCAACCCGACGATCAACTTTTCGCACCGTTCGGTCTGACACCCCGGCAGTAAACCTGTCCGTACCAACGACAAGGAAAGATAGATCCTTGAGCTAACAGTTTTCACGTGTCGTAGGTGTCCTTTTTGGTTGTTTTGGTAGAAACACAGATGGGTTTTCCTGGCTTCCCTGGTGGTTGAATCATCTATCAGGGCCATCGCCATCTCCCCTAAAAGGTCACCTACTTGGGAACCAAGAGCTGCGGCTGCGTGGCTCGCGGGGCTTGGCTGCCATGGGAGGCCTGATAGGACGTGAGCAGCTGCCATCCGTGGAGGTCTCGCTGCTTGAGCCGAAGACAAGGCAAGTGGGTGCGTCTCTTTGTTGAGTTGGTACGCCCTTTTTCGGTGGTTCTACAGGGAAACCAAAAGGAAAACCACATGCTCCTAGGGGGCCCAAAAACGGGGACACAACCTGAGGACACTCTCTCTCCTTGTCCAGCCGCTTCGTACGGGTTCAGGCCGCTAGGAAAAAACCAACCCGCTCCTGGCATCGCTTCCGGAGCTCCACGAGGTAGAAGGTCTTGTCCTGGACATCGAGCGACCCACCCGCTACCGCCCGCAGCGTCTAACGCCGCAGCGTCGCGGGAGCTCTGGGCTCGTCTGGGCTCCCCACGTAGATTTGCCGCTTGGGGCCCAGGGACCCCGTCTTCATGCCCATGACACCTGGCGAAAGGTCGGAGAGCTGAGCTGAGCGGCGCTGCCACGCCAGTTGAATCCAAGCGCCAAGACGAAGGCTTCGGATTTTGGCCCGCAAGCAACTTGCCGATCGATTTAATGCATTCAGCTCAGCGATTGGTGCCGCAGCCCCAAGAAAATGTCTCCTTGACTTTCATCAGCGATCAAACGGACGGTATGAAGTTGTTGCAGCCCCCAAACACCGTAAAGGACACTATCAAGATTTGACATGGAGGCTTTGCATGCACCACACCCTCTGATCTCTGGCGACAAAAATCTTGGAGCATGATGGCAAGCTGAGATTCATTTGCATCGCAAACGGCCGGGCAGCAATTTGCGCGTCGCGAGGCCGCAAAAAGGGCTCTATCGCCGGCTTGCGCTGAATTTAAGCGTCCAGCTCTTGAAGGAATTGCCATGTCAACGGCCTCAAACTGTTGAGGACCACCTCAGCATGACTTTCTGACAGCTCAAAGCACGTGCTCACATAATGATCTTTTGCTCAGGGCAACAAGCAGCTTTTCTCACCGGTAGCCTTGGAATCAGAGTCTTCTCAACAAGCTGGAAAGCTGACCAGGGAGACGGGCGTGTCAATGAGCCGGTCCGAGTCCAAGACCGGCTCTTGCACTTGCCGGAACACATTCCCCCTGCCATCCGGTTGCTAAATCTATCCTTAAGGTTGCAATGCGGGCAGGTCGCCAACAGCAAGCAGCCAGTGTCGCTAAGGACACCCAAAGTGAGGTAGAGATGCCCTGCGGCCAAGGCAAATTCGGCAACGGGCCCTTGGATGTTGCTTGCGCCACAAGCTGCTGTAAATGTGGCTGTGCAAAAGCCTGTACCCCCAGTGAACATCCCAATCCCCACTAAAATAGGTTCTAAAATGGGTGGTGAATTCACCCACCCCAAAATGGCTCTCGCCATAGGTTATGCAACCCACAGGCATGTGCTTTGGACAGCCTGTGGCTGCCAAGGCCAGGGCCGAGAACTTCACCAGGACCGCCTCGGTGCGTTCTGCAGCCAGGCTGGCCATTGCACTTTTTCGGGACCGAGGCCGGGGCAATGGCCAGGTTTTGCCGGATGAGGTCCTGAAAGAGTTGGATGCTTCAAAGCTCATTTTTTTTAAAAGGAATTTCCCCCTCCGCACTCTGTTCCAAGAGGAGTCATTGGGCATGGGTTGCTTCGAGGCTTGCAAGCCACGTTCAGTTTCCCCGAAGGCCACCAAAGGAGTTCCGCGAGAGACCGGCCTTGCAGCGCCGGGCAAAGTGCAGCGCCTGCACGAATCGCTGCAGCATCTGCCCGCCGCTGCCGATGACGACGTCCTGAGGTTGCAACTTGCCAGATTTTTCCAGGCTTTGGCTCAGCAACTTTCGGGGACGCGCGAAAAACCAATGAACAAACATCCTAGTGTTCCGAGAACAGTGAACAAGTTAGATCTGCAACCTTGCTGCAGATTGTTTTGGCCAGACCCGGCATTGGCCCCAGCAAATCCGCGGCTCTTCGCTTGGCCGGGGCGCTGCGGCGTCGCAGGGCAATTGGAGGCCCTGGGCGATGGCCACGCCCACGTCGGCGGCTGCCAGGGCTGGGGCGTCGTTCAAGCCGTCACCCAGCATGGCCGTGGGCGCCTCACAAAATCAAGTGGGATGGGAACCCGAGTCCAGTCTCTCTCTCTCTCTCTCTCTCTCTCTCTCTCTCTTTTTATACGGGTGGTCAACAATGGGCACCCAACATGGAACCCTGGTAAATTGAAACATGGACTAAAATCTGCGGTCCCCTGGTGGTTAATATTGACCCACGCCCATACGTGGAAACGGGAGAAACACCATGACCATAACATGAGCCCTGATGCCTGACCTATAGGTATAGTATTAAGCCCCGAGCTGGGATTGCCAATCCGCGCCTGGTGCGCCTTCAGCAAAGGCTGCGCCAGCCCCTCCTCTGCATCCCCGTGGATCCAGCGCTCTTTCTCGCCGGGGGTCAGCTTGGCCAAGCTGAGAGAGCAAAGGAAGTGCCAGGTTCCCATTTCGCTGGCGCGACCCCAGAGAAGAAGTGAGTAATCTGTCTGGGACACAAACCGGTGATGTGCGTGCCAGAAAGACCAAGCGTTCCTGGACCCTTCCTTCTTTTCCCAAAGCTCTTCTCCGCTTGAATCACGGGTATCTCTCTTTGGGGCCCCACCCAAAACATCGAGTTCCGGTTTGTTTCCCGTCGTTTTCCCCCTAAGGCCCAAACAAAAAACACGGAACAAAACGAGCGCCACGCCCACGCTCGCCACACCCGCAGCCCGCACGCCACCGCCCCCACGACCGCCCCCGCCTCTCTTTGATGCCCAGGGCGCTGCTGACGGCCTCGGCGGCCCGGCGCTCGTCCCCGGTGAGCATCGCCACGGAGACGCCCAGCAGCTCCAGCGAGCGCAGGGCCCCAAAGGCGTCCTCCCGCACCTCGTCCTCCAGGCGCAGCACCAGCACCACCTCCTCCTAAGGCGCAGGAATCCGAGAAAAATATATATATATATATGTATATATATATATGTATAAATAAATCGGACAAGAGTTTGCCTCTCAATTTCGCAGAAGGCCATTTTGTGCTCTCATGCTTTAAGTGAGATTCTGTGACACTCCCTCTCTCTCTCTCTGTGTCTATATATATATATATGTGCGAAAGAGGGCGCCGCGTCCTCCAAGGTCATGAACACAGTCGTGAAAACGCTGCCGCTCTGCTCCCACTCCTGCCACGTGACACTGCGAGCGAGAGAACTCCACAACGCGAATTCCTCACATACTTTCCGAGCAGTTGGCGCGAGTCTGGAGCTGGATATGCACAAATCCAGCTAAGCCCATAGGATGGCCAACCCAATTTCGGATGGGCCGATTTTCTGACCGCTGGGGCCAAGCTTGAGGAGAGACCGGGTGCCCGACAAGCCTCGCCTGGAGGATGTCCTCGGCCTCTTGTGGCAGGTCGATGGCCATGGACTCGAGGAAGCGGCGGCTGCCGGCGCCCACCACGGTGTCCTCCACGATGCCCCACACGCCCGCGCTCTCCACGCGGGTGAAGCGCTCCACCTGATTTTTCGCCGCCCACGAGGGGGATTCGACTCTGCGGAGTGAATTCGTGAGGGGAGGCCGACGAAAGAATTGAGGTGAAGTGCTTGGGGAGGAACCTTTGGAAGTGTTGCCCGGAACTCTCGGCTTCGGGCCTTGGGTAGGGCGGCGCTAGAGACGAAGGAGGCGGCGCAGCCCACGTAGCTGCGAACCAGGCTGTTGGCCAGGGGATGAGAGTCCTGACGGCACGCCGCATTCCCGTGAGCCTTTTGTTGCTTGGCAGATGTGCCTCATGCTATGATAGGGCCATGTTGGGCAGGTCCTGAGACTCCAGAGCCGCCAACAGCCGCAGCAAGTCCTGCTTGTTCTCGTGTCCAGGCATCATCACGACCTGCACTTCGTGCTCAAGCAGGACACTCGGGACAGCAACGCAACCTAGTTAGCCAAAGTCTGCCACGTGCCATGACTTCACTCATGCCTTCTCGCGAATCGAAGATCGCACTCAAGATACGGCGAGCAAAACAGCGGCTCCGACCGGCTCGCGCTCGCCTGGGCCAGTTCGAAGGCGCCCTTGGTCAGGGTCCCTGTCTTGTCCACGCCCAGGCGCGAGATCCGCGCAAAGGTGTCCAAGGCTCGAGCATCCTATCCGTAAAACTGGGTGGAGCTGGCAAGGCCCTAATCTTTGAGCACATGTCTTTTTACGTTCAACATTTCATACAAAACTCCCAGTTCTTTCCCAGCTTTGCCAGATCCTCCCTTCTCCTCCCTTCTTGTTTGTTGACCCCGAGGCTTCCCAATAATTGGTGGTGGCTTGGATTGCTGGCTTGGGACCACCAAAGGATCATTTGGCAGGTCAAAAAGGTTACCCTTATTGGACTAACCCTGTCATCTGCTTTAGAACATTTGACCCAACCCTTTTGACCACTTCTTTTCTTGGATCAGCTTGCCCCTGCTTGGCTCAACATTACAAACAACAGCTCCCCGCTTGTTTGCTTCTTTCCCTGGACTGAAACCTATCTTGAACAAAATCAGGAGGACCACATTGCGTCCAGATTTTGCCCTTCCTTCCAACCAACCAACCAACCCACCCACCCACCCACCCACCCACCCACCCACCCACCCACCCACCAACCAACCAACCAACCAACCAACCAACCAGCAGACCTGATTAACAGACCCAGCAAAAAAACGAACACCTTCAGTGAACATCCCAATCCCGCTAAAATAGGTTCTAAAATGGGTGGTGAGTTCACCAACCCAAAATCGGATCCCATGTTTTTTTTGGTAAACACTCACCAGCAACCAAAAGAAAAACAACCAAAATGTGGTGGATCCCATCCCAAAACGGACGGTTTTGAGTCCCCCGTGGATCCCATGTCGTCCTTCACCAGGACCTGGAGATCCGACAGCAGCCGCACGAAGGCGCAGCTCTGCACCACCGGCGCGGCGGCCACCACGGCGCAGGGGCACGCGGACACCAGCATCGTCAGGCCCCGCGTGAGGTCCGTGCACAGCGCCAGGCCCAGGGACAGCGCCAGGATCACCTGAAGCGGCCAAAGGACAAAAAAGGGAGAAACCGAAAAAGTAAGGGAAGAAAGCTCCGAGTCTGGTAGCCGACCCTTCTTCGCAATCCTTGGTGGGACTGTATATATATCCGCCGACATTGCTCGGCGTGTCGGATACTTACTAGAGGATAGAGGATAACCCCCCCCCTAACCCCCCCCCGCCCGACGTCTATTACGTAGGTTTTTTTTTTTTTTGGGGGGGGGGGAAAAATACATAAAATGGCACTTCTAACATCAAACCCAAATAATCAAACAGCATACAACAAAATCAGCAAAATTCACAGAAAACAAGATAAGAACCACCAAGCAACTCAAAAACCAGAACAACCCCCAACAAAATATTTAATCAAAGCATACAACATTAAGTAATTCAAACAAGCATACCAACAAAACAGCAAAAATAAAAACCATCAAAGAACACAAACTCAAACACACACATCAACAAAAAGCAAGGCAACATACCAACAAAAAATATCAGAAGAGTATCAAACAAAATAAAATACAAACAGCCAAAGCACGAAAAAATCAAAAGAGCATGCCAAGTTCAAACAACGCACTTTGAAAGAGTCAGCCAAACCAAGAAAAAATGAAATATTTCAATCTTTACAAACCATAAGTACAGTATAATTATAACATATAAGATTTTACATGTTATTATTATAGTATGATTATAATTTCAGTACAGGATAATAATTTAATTGACAAATCTTTCTTCTTTCATACATCATTTTAAAAATAATATTAACATCTCTCACTGTATTCTGAACATTAAACTTTTTACTTTCAATAAATACTTTGATATTTTTTTTAACATCTTCTCCTTTATCTTGACTATAACACAACAACCATAATATATCATCCATCATTTCATATTTTTTCTTACTAATTTTAAGAAACTGTTTAACATAATCATAAGGTGGTATTTTATTTACAGTTAGACATATTAAAATATCATCTTCTACATTTCTATGTCGAATTCTTTTTATTCCCAACAGACATCTGATTAATTCTTGATAATATCTCCAATTTCTACAAATTTTACATAAATCTTCTTCATCCATTGAATAATTAATAATATTATTCACTATTTCATTAGGTAAGTTCAATTTATACAATTCCATATTTTCTTTTTTGAAGTGACAACAATCATAGCATTTTTTATTGATATAATTATTGATTTTATCACCGTTCATTTTCCTCTTATTATATTAAGGCACTATTTCTTTAAGTCATTTTTAAGGCATTAAGTAAAATTAAGAAACAAACCATAAGTTCAATATAATTATAACATATAAGATTTTACATGTTATTATTATAGTATGGTTTTAATCAAAGTCATTAGTATTTAAATATTCCTTTGTAATCTTTGGTATTTGTTTAAAGTTCTTTTTATTGTTTTTAAATGGATATTTTCCATCAGCAAAATCATAAATGCAAAAACCTATGCCCCAGTTTCCTAAAACACTTTTAATATCATTTATCACATCACCATACATTAATTTACCTATTATATTGTTCTTCTGTTCATCCTTAATATAATCACATATTTTATCAATTATGATTTTCAATTCTTGGTTTCTTTGTTTTATGTAGTTTAAAAATGTTTCCTTGCAATCATTTTCAATTTTATTATTTGATAAATCATACTCATCAATAAATTTAAATATCATTTTATTATTAAATTCTTCAATTGGTCTTGTTGTTCCAGTTTTGCCACCATAACTAACTTCATATGATTTTTCGTAGTAATATTTAATATCATTATAAATTTTTAAAATATATGTTTCGTTATCTTGCAGTATATATTTTTTCACTTTTTCATATGTAGGAAATGTATTTAACTATATAAAACAATATGTTCTTAATGATGAGTCATCATTTAGAAATGTATTTTCTTCAAATTTCAATTTGTATTTATCATAAATACATTGTCTCAATGTTGAATGTAAATTACTTTTATGTAAAACTTGCTTTGCATTTCTTAATAAAAAACATTTCTCGCATTCAACATAATTAAAATCACAAATGTTTTTAACAATTGGATTAGGTAAATTTAACTTAGTTAGTCCAGTTTTTTCATTTATTAGTTTACATTTACAACTACTGATAATGTCATTAACTTTTATTTTATTCAAAAAGTCATTAATAATTTCTTCTTGCTCTTTTTTAGTAAATTCAACCATTTCTATTATAATATATTAAGGTATTAAATCTTTAAGTATATTGTTCTAAAAAGTCACTTAAAGAAATAAACACATTAAATTTATATAGTATAGTATTATGAAACATGTTATAGATTATCTGTTGAATAATGATAAAGCGGAAATTCCAAAAAGAGGAAACAAGGAATTAAAATCAATAATTATAGATGGTAGAAAATTTAGATACAACAAAGAACAACCCATCTCAAATGTTTTGAACAAGAAATTAAAATCAGAAGCAAGAACTAATGAGTATAATAGTTATGCAACAAAAACATTGCGCTCAACATACCTAAAACAAAGAATGAAAAATGCAATGACAAAATATGCAATCAAAAATAAATTCCAAGTAACAGACCAACAATCAGCTTTCAAAAGTTATGCTAATTCTATAAAACTAGTAAATAAACATTTTCAAGGTGAAAAGGCACTATCAATGATACACCACCAAAAAGATAGACGTTTGACCTTTTTGAAAACTAATAGAGCAATGAAACTGAATATAAGGGCAGAAGGTTTATTTTATCATTATTATGATGATGATGGAGTAATAAAACATACAGAGATACTTTATAATTTACCTGCAACAAGGGCAAACATATATAATGAAACCGATTTGGATGAAGCAATTGAAAAATCAATCAAAGAGATTTTATTGAACATAGAGAAACTAGAAGGTTCAGCATCTAATTTACAATTTAAAAAAATATTATCAATAACAATCCATTATGACAAATATGACCCAACTAGGGCGGGTAGTTATATAGATTTACCTGAATGGATTAAACTAAAAAAGGCATGTGTTAATATCAAAAACAAAGATAACAAATGTTTTAAATATAGTGTTCAAAGTGTAGTGTTTGATATAATTAATAAATCAAATTCCCAAGAAATGTTCCATTACAACAAATTAAATGACAATATCTTAAACTGGGAAGGTGTTAAATTTCCAACTGGTAATAAAGATATTGAAAGGTTTGAAGAAAATAATAGTAAGTTAGTTTCAATCAATGTTTATGAAATTGATGATACTTTGAATGAAAAGAAAATTATAATTGATTACAGAACTAAAACAAGAGATGCTAAACATCAAATAAACCTTTTGAAAATTGAAATCAATAATAATAATCATTATGTAGTTTTTAAAAGTCTAAGTCGTCTAATGAACTGGCAAACAAACAAAAATGACCAACCAAAACATTATTGTCATTATTGTTCTCATGTCTTTACTAGAAAGGATTTATTAACAAAACATTATGAAACTGGTTGTATGGCAACACATGGACAACAGTTTAAATTACCAAAAGAAGGTAGTTATATTGAATTTGAAAAATACAATACAAAATTAAAATGTCCATTTGTTGTTTATGGAGATTTTGAGTGTATAACTGTAAATTCAAATAATGGCATCAAGGGCACGTATCAGGAACATAAACCATGCGGTTATATGTTGAATGTTGTAAATTCTATTGATAATACAAGTCAACCTTTTTTATACCGTGGAGAGGATTGTTTAGACCACTTTGTAAATAAATTAAGAGAAATTAAAAAAGATATTTTTGATAAAATGAATGTTAATAAACCAATGGATATTACAGATGAACAAGAAGCAGAATTTAGAAAAGCTACTGTATGTTCAATATGTAATAAGAATTTTAAACCAGAAGATACAAAAGTCAGAGACGCCTCGCCAGAGGCTCACGAGACTACCCTTTCTTCCAAAGGAAGAAAGGTTCGTGACCACTGTCATTTTACTGGTGAGTATAGAGGTTGTGCTCACGAAAAATGTAATTTGGATTATTCATTTAGATATTTCAAGATACCAGTATTTTTTCATAATTTAAAAAACTATGACTCTCACTTAATAATAGGCAAAGCAAATGAAATAAATAAGGAATTGAACGAAAATAAGAGAATAGATGTAATAGCACAAAATAGCGAAAAGTTTATTACATTTTCATTTGGTTCATTACAGTTTAAAGATAGCATGGCTTTTCTCTCAGCATCTTTGGATAAATTAGTTAAGTTAAATAAATATGACATAGTAGGTAAAGATGAACATGATAAACCTATATATAAAAAGCGGAATGACTGGAAGGATAATTTCCGATTTTCATCAGCAAATCCATATATTAGAAATAAAACCGATTTAGACTTATTAACTGAAAAAGGAGTTTATCCTTACGACTACATGAATTCATTTGATAAATTCAATGAATCGCAATTACCAAGTATAGAAGACTTTTACAGTCAATTATATGAAGAAGGCATAACAGATACACAACACACAAGGGCAAAAGTAATATGGGATAATTTCAATATCAAAAACCTAGGTGAATACCATGATTTATATTTGATGACAGATGTTTATTTGCTTAGTGATGTTTTTGAAAACTTTAGGGATATGTGCTTAAATTATTATGGTTTAGACCCTGCTCATTACATAACATTACCTAATTATTCGTGGTCTGCCTTCTTATCTCTTACTGGTGTTAGACTTCAACAAATACATAATAAAGACATGTATGAAATGATTGAAAAAGGTCTTCGTGGCGGGATGACTCAATGTGCTCATAAAAAAGTAGAAGCAAATAATAAATACATGAATGAACAATATGACTTGTCAAAACCATCAAGTTATATAAGTTATTTAGATGCTAATAACTTGTATGGTCTGGCTATGAGTAAAAAACTACCGTTTGATAATTTCAATTGGTATTTTTCAAGGATGGATGAGAAGAAAGTATTAAGTTATAGCGATGATGATGACAAAGGCTA